CTCCCTATGCATGACAGAAATGACATCGGGTTCAAGGGCTCCCTGGGGTCCCCTCCTAAGATAAAGTGGCAGCTGCTTTCATGGGGCCTGAGGCCCTCTCCCTCTCCCTTCTCTGCTCACATGCTTCCAAACAGCAATGGCACTCAGAGATATTCTCCCTGTACTGGTGGGATGGGAAAGAGTGGGTGCCCTGGACATTAGAGGTCAGGTGTGATCCCTAAAAATGTCAATGCTCCCCACAGCAGCAAGGAGCCCATCTGTGTTCTCCCCACAGTTTAGCAAGAGAGGACATAAGCCTGCACGTTTGTCCCCGGTCTGCACCCACATCCTCCACTGCAGCCGCCATAGTCACATCGGCAGGCAGCTCTTCCCTGGGTGTTCTCAGTCTACCCATGCCTCTTACCCATGCACAGCATTTCCCCCAAAGGTGGGCTCTCAGGCGTCGTGGGGCATCGGTGGGTAAGACCTCATGGATGGTGGTGACAGAGGGGCCACTGATACTCCTAACCGTCGGCTGAAAGCGTGCATTTGTCAAATGATGATTGTGCTTGGCTCTCTGGGGGAGTCCTTTAAATCCCTGGGAAATCTGATGGCTAAAGCAAAGTGAGGGATTCAGTTTTGAGCTGGGCCTGGAAAAGTTATTGGAGAAAAAATACAGTGTCTGAAACTTATTATTAGGAGAGTCTGAGTTTTAGCAGGAATCCCAGGAAGCCGGGATGCTCCTGCTAGCGTGGGCCTGGAAAGGAAGACCAGGCCACTCCCTGTGTCCCTCTCCTGCTCGCCTTTGAGCTGACTCCTGCTTTCAGATTGGCCAAAGGGGCAGTCGTCAGAAATAAGAGGCCAGCTTCAGATGACTCTCGGCCTGCACAGGAAAGCAGACATCCCTGCTTAGTTCCATTAGAGATGTATCTGGAAATGAGACTTGCCTTCTGAGGCAGAGGGGTTTGGGTTTGTTCTTCTGAAAGGGTAGTCTCATTTTAAATCTCAGTGTCCATGGAACAGAAGCCTTTATTCTCTGTAAAAGAAACTTTAGACAAGTAGCAAGGGGTGGACTTCCATTAGCCCTTTCTGCTGACCTCAGTTCTGGAGCCTGGACAGTTCTTCATTAACTGAGACCCCCAAATCCAGCTTCTGACAGTGGTTACAGAGAAAGGGTATGTGCTTTTCCTTCCTTCCAGGATGGGGATAACTAGGCTCCAAAGATGGCCCTCCAAGGAGCTTAGTTGATTGGTATTCACTTTCATAGTCCCATCCCTCCAATATGGATGGGCTCATCTTGTGATTAGCTTTTGACCAGTAGGGTGCCATGGAAGTGATGCTTGTGACTTCCAAAACTAAGTCGTCAAAAGCCTTGCAACTTCCACGAGGTCTCTTGGATCACACACTCTGGAGGAAGCCAGGCTCCATGTGAGAAGTCTAACTACCCGCCTCCACCATGCTGTGAGGAAGTCTCCACAGCAAGGGCCCATGGAGAGTGCTGCCTGACTAGTCTCTAGCTCTCCCAGCCATCCCAGCTAGAGCACCAGGCACCTTACCTGCACAGGTAAGGCTCAGACTCCAGCTTCAGCCACAGTCTAACTGCAACCAACTGAAAACCACTCAGCTGAGCTCAGTCAATCCATGAAAGAGCAATACATTGCTAATGTCAGCCACTAAGTTTGGTGGGGGAAGTGTTGTAATGCAGTGAGAGAAAATCAGAACAGAGACCCTGGCATGAGAAGCAAGAGGTTTTCAGGGAGTTTCCCACCCAACAGATCAATAGTTTTGAGCAGTG